TATAAACAAAAAGGAAAAATGTATTATGATACTAAACACACATTAAAGAATTATATAATACTTACTTCAATATTCAGCAATAAGTTTTTCGCAAAAGAAAATATAGTAAAAGAAATTACTTTCTTCATGTTTGCCATGTTGGTTAGTCTAGCTGAGATAATTCAAATTTCAACTGTCGACGACTCTGGTCGTTCACAAAGTCACACAAACTAGAGTTAAACTCTTACCTAACTCAACTCTACTCTAAGGGTGAAATCACACGATGCGTCATAGGGCTGCGGAATACAAAATGCGTCATTGAAGCAACCAATCACCTCTATTCCGCATTTTGCCTTTAGATGTTCCGAAATAATCCGGAATAGAAAGTGCGTATGTTTTAAACGTGCGTAGTTCCAGTAACTCCAATTTCAACAAACGTCCACTGGAGAATGTAAGAGATGATGAGGAGGATATATCAGGAATGAACTCAAGTGTGTCCAGTTTTACCAGCTTCTCAGAACATGTTAAACGTAAATAGATAGTTTTACTTTAGCACTTAAGTAACTTTTTTCTAAAATTGGATTATTTTAATTATTACTTCGATTATGTTGTATGTAATGTAAGTTTATATATGTATTTATATATATACATATATTACATACAACGTATTATATATGTATATATATAATGTATAATAAATTATTTGTCATCAAACGAAATTGATGAAATATATTATTATATTATTCAAACACAATAAGTGAAGAAGGTCATCTACGGTCAAAATGGATCTTGGTGCTTAATAATATTCTGTGAATATTTTTTATTTTTATATTGTTTTTACAATTTGTAGCTCACTGCGCGAGATCTTATCGGTCTTGAAATACAATCCCAAAGTCAGAGTATGTATTTTCACAAATTAAATTGACAAGCAATTAGTTATATCTATGCTAATCAATTTATTATATTGTGTTTCAGGTCCAAGGAAGCAGTCATCTGATGCTGAATTCAAAAAGGACTTGTTTAAAATGTTATCAGATAGTAGCAAAGCTCCTGACGGTGTTGAAGGATTTTTGCTTCAACTGGGCGATATTTTAAGAAAATTGCCATATAAAAATAGAAGACTACTTGAAACTAAAATTATGATGGATGCATTAAAAGCAGAAGAAGAGGCAGGACTTATATAATTTATATTTATAAAGAAAATTATTATCTCGATGTAACATTTTTATTCTCATTCTTGGAAAAAACATAAAGTACAAAACTGTATCGGATTCATGTTTACTTACAAAATTATTTATGTAGGTAATTAAAATACACATTCATCTATACATTTTCTGCAGATTTATTTTAAAATTCATTATTCTCAGCTTTCTCCCATTGCCATTGTACAGCGCCTTCATTTACAAAATAGTTGGCAAATCTTTCTCTGTAAATACTGGACAAGTTACGTGAAATAACATCTCGGTTAATCTGATTTCCTATATTTCTAATAATGCCAAGCGATGTTTGCTGCCTGTCGTGTCCATTATATTGTAAATATTGTCTTTCCTGAGGGCGCCTTTCCTTTTGAAGTTCCTTAGTGATGATGAAATTGTGTAAGCAGATAGTGGCCAACACTATCTTTTCGGCTTTCGAGACGTAGGTATTGATTGGTCTTCGAAAAATTCGCCACCTTGCTGCAAGTATGCCAAAAGTTCTTTCAATAACCTGTCTGGCCCTGCTGAGACGATAATTAAATACTTTTTTCTTCAAATCAAGTTGTGAACTTTTTGGATAAGGTCGCATCAAGTACGGTGACAGCGGGTATGCCTCATCAGCCACCAAAACAAATGGTAACTCGTATTGATCAACTGGAGAAGATGGAGGCACATTCAAAGTATTTGCATCTAGTCCTGATTTTAATTTGCTATTAGCAAAAACTCCAGCATCGCTACGGCGACCCTCTGCTCCTACATCTACCAAAATGAACCTATAGTGCGCATCTGCAATGCCAGTAAGATTCAAACTATGGGTTTTTTTATAATTGTAATAGAAGGAGCCACTGTGAGGAGGAGCCTGTAATTTAAATTTTAAAGTCGTCTATTTCATGAATGTTAAATACAAAAGATATGTCTGAATAAATTATTATTACCTCTATTACAATATGTTTCCCATCTATTGCCCCCATGCAATGAGGGAAATTCCACATTGCTTCAAAATCTTCTGCTATCTTTGTCCATGCATCCTTGCTTGGTATTGGCATAACTAAATCCTTTAATTTAAGCCAGATTTCATCACAAGTTTCATGAATTATTTGCGAAACAGTGTTTGGAGAAACTCGAAATGCATATCCTATTGATCTCATGCTGTCTCCACTGGCTAAATACCTCAAGCAAATTTGCAACCTTGTGTGAGAAACAATTGGTTCTCTAATATTTGTTTGCTTTTCAATTCCAGGGCCTACTATTGAAAGAAGATGCTCGAAGGTGCCAACATCCATTCTCAAATAATTAAAATGCAGCGAAGGATCAGTTGCTCTCAGCATGGTAACTAAATTGTTACTATCACATTGGCGAAACCGCTGCTCTACTGAATAAATGGGCCTGACCCATACACTTCTTTTGGATTTTCTTTTTGACAAGGCAACGTAAATTGAGTATAATTTGAGCAAAGTTAACCTTATTTTCTCCTTTCGATAGTGCATCATTGGAGTTTTCAAGTATATTTTTATTAAGTGCTTAATAGCTTCAGTTATCATTATTTTATTATCCATGATGATAAAAAATTAGTTACTGTATGATAGCTTAATTGCATCAAATTTGCGCAAATATATTCAAGATCAAGACATGAAGAACAATGACGGATGACGCATTACGTGCGATTTCGGCGTGCCCTGTTCACACGTTGCGGAAAAAGGATAGTAAATTCTTTACAGCTGATTAAAACATCGTTTTGAGATTGTAAATATTAATTGTAAAATATTAAATATCACAACAGTAATAATTGTTTTTACAATTTGAGAAATTATATTTTATTTTAATAGGCAAATTATTAACATAAAGTTAGAAATTTCTAAATTTATTCATCCTGGATGCATCTTTGACGCATCATGTGAACATAGCACACAAAACTTGCGTGTTAGAAAAGTGCGGAATATCGCTGATTGGTTGCTTCAATAACGCACTCTGTATTCCGTAGCCCTATGACGCACCGTGTGATTTCACCCTAACTCTACTCGGAGTAAACTTTATGAACGCAGCCCAACTCTACTCTAACTCTACTCGGAGTAAACTTTATGAACGCAGCCCTGACGCGCGTCCTTGCGGCGTGACGACGCCGTAGACGCAGGCGCCCGGTGTTCGAACGGGCTTAGCCATTTTTGCAGGTGTTGCATCTTTTTTTTTTAACACACAGAAAACAATCATAAACATACGGTTATTACTATTGTGACGAGATCTGGCCGTATCGACCTCCTTTTACATTGTTTGGAGGCGGGAGCCATTAATTAAAGAAGAAGAAGAAGAAGATCATAATGCATATAATATTCTAAATAATGTCTTGAATATAAAATATATACCTGTATTTTATAAAAAAGAATATTTTTGTGGTTGAAGTGTAAGAATAAATCTTAATCAATTATTAAATAGTGTACATTATTTACTTGGATAGGTTAGGTAACGTAAAAACGCGATTTTTTTTCGTAACTTAAATATTATTCCGATAATGTATAGAAAAATTGTGTATGAAAAAATTTATACATAAAAAATAGAAAAGGTATATTAAAATATTACATTTATAATTAAAATTTAATTTGTAACATATAAAGTGGAAAAAATAGAACAGAAAATTGTTTAAAAATAAAACTAACTCTTATAACTAATAAACACTATATTTTACATATAAAGAAATTTAATACATATAAATACATGAAAAAATTATTGATTCTTAAAAATAACAATTTTCGTATGTTTATTCCTTATTCGTTTTACAGCATCATTTTTTCCTCTACATATATGATGTAACCTTGTTAATAAGTATAATCTTGTTATTAATTTTATTAATTGTGTTCTGTGGTCAGCTAATGGTGCTTGATCAAACATATGTAGCACATTTCCAAAAATATTATTTGATATAGTATAAAGAACTTGTACTGTTAATTTTGTAATATTAATCTGAGAAGCGCGCGCGCAGTTAAGTGTGAATGAGATCTTAATATTCTTTCTGCGGCAGTACAAATTTTTATTACATCTGGTGACGCTCTTTTAGGACCTCCTCTACATTTACGATCTTGAAGCCTCGAATAATTTTCTGTTGTCGTAAGCAGTAGTTTACATTGTTCGCATTTTATACGTTTTTCAACTCGTCTAGTAATAAAACCTGAAATATAAACTATGTATTATATCTTCGACATATTCGGATAAAACTGGAATGCTAACAATCTGTCTCATCATTTTGATGAATGATAGAATCGATTCCATTACTTATTGATTTTTCAACAGTCTGTATATATGTATTATCTTGAGCAATACAATTGGAATATGGTGATATATTTATTTGAGTATGTGCCAATAGTCTTTTATAGGCGTATTTAAATTATTTTGCAGAAGGATTGTTATTATGACCTCCTCTACTACGTACAGCAGAGAAAAACATCTCTAAGTGGTTCTATGAGAATTTATACGTTAGTAAAAATTTAATCTTTCCAGAAGAAATCAAACATTCTACAATATCAATTGCACTCTTCATGCATATAATCATGCCAAGGAAGCCTGTCTTTTTACAAGAATCCAAAATTAATTGTCCATCGTGCTTCAAATTACTCATATATTCAATATATGATTCAATAACTTGTCTTTTTAAAACTAAATTTTCTTGTGTAATTGGCATTTGACTGGAATTTTTACATAATAAATTTCTACTGTTTAATAAGTCAAACATATTGTTGATTTTACGAAGGAATATAGTTGTAGCTTCAGATCCTTTGAGCTCTTCTTTTTGAAAATCGTGATTGCAAAAATCAATTGCATTAGCTACACTATTGCTTAAGGTTTGTGCAGCAATTTATTCATTTTTTCATTTACATATTGAATGTGTCGTCTCCTCAATTTTGTTCCAGCATGTAATCCTTTAATTTCTTGTATTTTAACTAAATCTAATGCATATTTCCATTTTATTATGTTGTTATTTTCATCTCGAAAATCTTTCATTGTTGCATATGCATTCCGTATAAGTTTAATCATATGACATGCGTCTAAGAAGATATAAACTTTTTCTCCAGTCGCTGGATGTAAGAAATAATGTTTTAAATTAATCATTGATAAATTAGCACCCAAACATTGAACAGTGTTAATATTGCTTGCAGTATCATTCATTGTTAAAGAAATAACTGTAGCATCAACACTATATACAGCTAGTAATACTTCTTGCACCAAATTTGCTCTTTCTGAGCCATTCAATGAATTTATCAGATAGTAGGCGACAGGAATTTTCCATCCTCCATTTATATTAACTAATAAAAACACAGCCGCATATTTAGCTTCAGGTAGGCTATCATTATCTGTTATATTTGTTCCATAATCAATATATCTTGAATACCTATCTCCATCAATCTCAATTTGTTGCCTAATTGACATATCATCAACAATAAGTGCAAAGTACAAATGCTTCATGTTCTCTGCCGCTTCATTTACTTTTATTTGAACAGTTGCTAATGCGTCCTTACTTATTTCAGGGAGGCCACTAACATTCGTATACCATCGCCTAACAGTTTGTAAGTGTGGCAAACTATTCATGAACACTTTTCTAACATATTCATATGCTTTACTGGAATAAAACTGTAATGTCGCTGCGAATGTTTTTATTTCATCTGGAAAAATACCCTTCTTTGTATGTGTAGTTGTCTAGAAATTATTTTACGCAATGTTGGTGTCAAGGCTGCCTGTGTGAAAAAATATATATATAATGTATACATATACCCTAGTAGCACAAAGCATTGGCGCAATATTGGGAAATCAATGTACAGCCAATATTAAACATTGGTATAAGAATTGCACACCCAATATTGGTCCAATATTGTAAGGTAGACGCCTAGTCATATTTAACCAATATTGGTTCAACAATATTGGACCAATATTGGGTACACAATTTTTACCCAACGTTTTAAATTGGCTGTACATTGTTTGTCCAATATTTCGCCAATATTGGGTGAAAATTTAACCTCCAATATTGGTCCAATATTGATTTAACAATATTGGTTCAACAATATTGGACCAATATTTATTCAACAATATTGGACCAATATTGGGTACACAATTTTTACCCAATGTTCTAAATTGACTGTACATTGTTTTACCAATATTTCGCCAATATTGGGTGACAATTTAACCTCCAATATTGGTCCAATATTGTAAGGTAGACGCCCAATCATATTTAGTCAATATTTTGGTTCGACAATATTGGGTCAATATGGATTTAACAATATTGGGCCAATATTGGGGATTCAATTTTTATCCAATGTTTTATATTGGCTGTACATTGTTTTTCCAATATTTCGCCAATATTAGGTGAAATTTAATCTCTAATATATTGGTTTAATATTAAAATGGATGCCTAATCACATTTATATTGGACCAATATATATTGGGAATTCAATTTTAATGTACATATAAATTTATAATGTGAAAAATTATAAAATTACTATTATTATTGCTTAGTAAAAAATAATTAACATATAATACACTAACATAAACCTGATATTTTGCAATTTTTTGAACAAACTGCAATAAAATTTTTTCAATAAAATTCTTCCTCTTAAGCTCGTACAGAAATATTACACGGTATAGATTTTTGTTGTAATTTCTATTTAAGAAATTTCCTTGCTATTTATAATAAAAATAATTTTATTAAAATATTTTTTATAAAGGTTGATTTATATAGTATATAAAAGTTTGATATACGAGATATATATATATATATACACATTTTATGCGTGTATATATATATATAATATTTTATGGATAATGTATGAACATATATTTATCCATAAATATTATAAACATTCATATACATATTAACTTAAATTTTTCTTCTTAGCTGTAAATTGTAATATCAGGGTTGCCAACGATGTTCACAGCGAAAAAAGAGGAAAAGTGACCTTTTTCACAAAAAGAAGTGACTGAAAAGTGACACAAATGTGATCATAATTAAAATACATGGTAGTTGGTTCAAATTGTTTGTTACTTTGAATGAATTCAATATACAAAATGGAAAATTTAAATATGTATTTATTTCTGTAGAAAATTTTCATTATAACTTATTTTTTGGTATCATAGGAAGCCCTGTAATATTTTTACTTCAAAAATAAACATTTCTAATGGATACAAGTATAACTATGTAGCATAATCATAAAATCTCAATAATCAGAAATTATGTTACTTATAACATATTAAACTACGCCTGTTCAATTTGAGTTCCGAAGCCAAAATGCAAAGTCATCGACGCAAAAAATTCACTGTGGGTAAGATTTCGGGGACAGTGTTAATAAGCTTTATTCAGATGTGTATCAACACTTCATAATCCCTCAAATCTTAGATTGAATTTTTTTCCTCAGAAATTCTAAGATTTTTGCACTAATCGAAGAAATAAAATTTGAAATGACCACAATGAGAAAAACTCAACAAAAATATAGATGCTTTACTAACAGTAAATGACAATATAAGCGTAAATAGATTCAGTCGAGTACTTTCAATTAGTTCCATAAAAGATTTCAATGAAATTGCTAAAGTCTGGAGAGGTGGCTGTCGTTTTTGCTCCGGAGTTCAAATTGGAGAGGCCTGTATTAAATCATTTTACAAAAGAAAACTAATATTAGATATAAACATTTCAGATGCAGTGTAAAAAAGAAATTGTATGTTATGATACACTAATAAAACAATTTAAGGCGATCTTTAGTGTTATTCAGGTATAGAAACCAAAGTGTGTACCAAAGTGTACGGAACATTATTTTTGCGTGTTTAGTCACTAATGGTCTACCAAACCTCTAGGTGGGACTAGCCCTTTAATTCGTGTCTTATTCTCTCTGTCTCTTGTATTATATATCATGTTAGTAAGAAATTATTTTTAAACAGTATCGAATTCGTACGTATACAAAAAATCAACAGTTTTAGCGTTATAGTTGCACGTACAGGTTATCAGAATAAGCTCCACTCCTACTAACATCTACGAGGGTGGTTTGAAAAATCCGTGTAAAAATGAAAACTACTTAATTTTCCAGGATAAAACTTTTTTATTTTTCAATGTAGTCTCCTTTCTCTGACTTTGCACGAACCACCCTCGTATACCAATAATAACCTTGATACATGTACCAAACGATCGCTAAAAATCGCCTTTAATTAACACAAAAAGTATTTTTCCATATAACTGTTATACTCCAAAAAAAAACTTCATAAAAAAGTATATTATAATATGAATATTAATTCAGGCATGGGAGCGAATATAGGTGTCAAAAATAGTGAGAAACGTGAGCTTTTTATAGAAAAGTGAGAAAAAGTGAGATGTTTCTAAAAAAGTGAAAAAAAGTGAGAAAAGTTGTCCGCTCCCATCCCAGATATTATACATATTAAAATTAATTTGTTACAGCGAATTCGATTGGACACACTTCAGTGCGCACTAGTGCACATTAAAGCCGTCGTACACAAATTGATATAAAGATATGTGTTTGTTATAAATATAGAAACCGGTTAGACCACAAAATAGTCAATACACTTTAGTTTGCTATTAGGTAAAATATATATTTTGTGATTTGAAATTTTTGCATTTTACTTTATACTGAGATTAAATCAGTGTATATATAACGATTTTAATATGCATAATGCGTACTAGTGCGTCCATTCGATTTTGTCACATTAGAGTAATTTTTCTTTAAAATATATCGCAAGAATAAAACAAAACCTTATAAATACCAGACAAATTGAACGTTTCAAAAAAATTCATAAATGAGTTTTACATTAATTATTTATTACAGTTGAGTTATTAGTTGAGAGGTTAGTTGAGAGGCTGTCTCTTTCTTTTCTTCCTCCTTCTCTGTCTCCGCTTTCAGCAAGAAACTTCGAAATTCTTTTAAAAATTATATCCCTTGTTGCATTTGGTAACTTTTTTGATATTCCCTCTATAAATAAAAAAGGAGAGAAAATTTATATGCACATAATGAAACAAATTTTTTTTTTATTACAACTTTGCTTAAAAGATATAGTTTCAGTGGTTTTATAATGGAAAAGAAGTATCAAATTAAATTTACCATACACTGCAGCAGCAACTTTTGTAGCAGAAAAATTACGTTTCTTTTTTCTTCCGCAACCACTAAATTGTATTGAAACGCTCTTCTTCATGATTATTTTCATTACTGATGGCACTAATTGATTTATTGTTTCTCCAGACGCAAGATTGAGGTATTTAATCTAAAAAATAAAATATTGATTAACTGATTGATAAATAATATAAATATTGATAAATAATATAAATATTTAAGAAAAAAATAAGTTGATCAAAATTATTATAATATTTATATTCTAATATTTCTATGGTTTATTTAATAAAAAAAATTAATAATAAAAAATTAATAATGAATTTTTCTTTTCTTTTCTTTTTATGCTTTTATGTAAATTCTTATCTGGTATAATATTCTTATCCAAAAATTTTATAATTTTAATTAATAGATTATTTTACTATGATTTCGTCATATTTTTACCAGAGATACAAAGTCCTGTTCAGACTTTAGCAAAGAACTTTCAATTTCAATGAAATCTTCTATGGAACTAATCGGAAGTAGTCGACTAAATCTGTTTATGCTTATGTTATCATTTACTGTTAGTAAAGTATCTATTTTTGATTTCAGTTCCTCCTGAGTTCTTCTCATTGTTGTCATTTCAAATTTCATTTCTTCCATTAGTGCAAAAATCTTAGTTAGAATTCCTGAGGAAAAAAGATATGAAAGTTGTAACGCTTATAATAACAAAAACTAAATTAAAAATTTTTTAAATATAAACATAGAGAACAGCTACGAAATCATACCCTCTTTAATATGTTGGAAACTTATTGGATCTGTGATTTCTTTAGTTTTTTTAACGTTTTCTACACTGTCATCATTAGATTGTACAACAGGACTATTTATAATCTGATAATCTACTAAATTTTCCTGACATTCTGCAGCTGTTTGGGTTACTGTCGAATTTTAAAAAAGTATATTACATTTTAAGAATATTTCAAAAAGTAATTTTGAATATATATAACAATATATTAAATATTATAATACTTTGGTAAGAATTTCGAATAGGGAACCCAAGCAGCAAAGCAGGGCATCTTGACCAAATCAAAGTCAGGTCGCCCTAATTAAGTGAAAAATTACTAATTTTTGACATAAAAAACGTCTTAGCAGTTAAATATTGTTTGAAGTCTTCTGTACAGGTCGAAAATTACGAAATTTAAACCTATAAAAATGCCTTCAAAATTTAATGACTTCAAAGTTATACATTAGCTTATAAATGACTAAATTTTGACCAAAGCTATGCCTTCAAAGTCGATTTAACTTATAAGTCAAAATTAAAGCTCTGTTTGAAGGAAGTGTGACCTGATTGTATCACCTAATTTCAACCTCATAAGCGATATGACTTAATTGGTTAGGATTACCTAATTTTTTACTATATATAAATCGTTTGTGTTCTTGACTAATATAGGGAATATCTAAGGCACGAAATAAACCTTGTGGTCGCTGGAAATTAACTACAAAGTTGAGATTACCACGGAAAATGACTTATAAGGAAAATTGATCTAAGGTTAGGTCAAAATGCCCTGCAAAATTTACCCTGAAAGTTAATTATTGGTCTTGGACCTTATTAAAAGTCGCCATCCTGTTTGCTGTACAATCGCATCAGTTATTTTCTCTATGTTGATTATGAAGGAGTAAAAAATCGCTTGTTCAAGCAAGACACGTTTTTTTCTCTGTGCTGAGTGTTGTCATGAAAGGTTAAAATTTTTAAAAGCGTGATCGCGGCTTTGACCGTATATAATTATAAGTTAGGTTAAGTTAATTCCGTGATACATACTTACGATCGCGATGTAGCAGACATTTTTCGATATGTATCGATCCAGCGATTTCGACTTTGAGTCAATCTAACTTATAAATAGGGAAATTTGACTTGTTAGTCAGAATGCCTTAATGGTCGACAAGATGACATCAAAGTCAACGATTTTGAAGTAAAAATGCCCTGATTAAGGAAATTTACTCTCAAAGTTAGACATTTAGCCTTAGCAGTAAGGAAATTCGACCTATAGGTCAGTATTTGGACGAAAACATTAAATCAGCCATTATTGTAAGATTGTTCTGTCCGCCATGATATACTAAAACGCTTTCTAAAATTGAGCATTAATAAAAAATAAATTATATTATATCTCTCGGAATGTTAAGGATTGAAAAAAATATCTATTTTATGCTACTGTTAGCGTAGGTGCGAGATTAAAACATTTTTATTATACTAAGTGCAAAAATATATTGTTGTTAAATAATTAACGATTAATTAATAATTGTTTAAATTATATATTTTCGCAGGCGCGTTGATTTTAACGAAGTAAACTAAAAATCTGTATAGAAAATTTTCTTTCGCACTTATATTTCTGTCACGTATCATGCGATATTCGGTTTCAGAACCGACGTAAAGAAGGACTCTGTTACTATTTTATTTCGAACTTCCATGGCTGGTCGGAACCATATCAAGCACATGTTATAGCTGTAGTGTGATTCTCCGTCTTGGTAGAATTATTATGGAAATGTACAGTGTTGCCCTCTCGGCGACAAACACTGAGTCGTCGAAAGAAGGGAGGGCACAAATTGGTCAGAATTAGGTCAAAATTACCAAAATATTACCGATATTCGACCTTTTATTAGGTTTATTTGACCAAATCGGACTATGACTTATAAGACGAAATGCCTACCATTACTTAATTTCGACCGTAAAATTACATGATACGCGCCGCCGCCATCGTGGGGCCCACCGCCGCCACCGCCGCCGCCGCCCTTCCCAAAATGGACTGTCACCATCCCCTAATTTAACTATAAATTATTATTTTTTGGATAATCACTCACCAAAAAATGGACTGTCACCGTCCTCTAATTTAACTATAAATTATAATTATTTTTTGGATAATCATATAAAATACGCTGTCACTTTTTTTCAAAAATCATTGCTTCTTTGTTTTTTTCACAAAAAAGATTACAAAAATCACAAAAATCGCAAAATACAAAAAATCTCTACACAATAAAATACGCTGTCACTTTTTTTAAAAATCATTGCTTCTTTGTTTTTTTTCACAAAAAAAGATTACAAAAAATCACAAAAATCGCAAAATTACAAAAAAAAAATCTCTACACAATATAAAAATAAAAAATACTTTTTCTACAAAAATTGCTATTAGTCCTCATCCAGGTCTCTCATCCAGGCTGTCTCCTCAGCCCAAGCGGCAATCTCTGCCGCCTCTACCTCCTCTTCAGCTTCTGCCGCCGCCGCAGCTAGGTTAATTATGCAAAATTGCAATAGTTCATCCTCATCGACTAAATTGAAAAAGTCGAGCATGAATTCGACCAATTCACCAGTCGTACAAAGTGTGAAATCGAGCATCGGCAGGCTCTCAACTTCCTCCTCTTCAGTGGGAGCACCCTCGCCAGAGACACTCTCCTCCTCCTCATTTTCATAAGCCTCTTCATTAGGAGCATCCACATCAATGTAGCTATCCTCCTCCTCTCCCTCCGAATCATTTATTTCAAAATTATCTGGCTCTCTGAATTTCATTTTTTTAGTGTTGAAGAACTAAAAAAAAATATATAATCACTAAAATACTTGCAACCACACTAAAATACTCACAACCAAACCGTTTTAAATAAAATTACTTACGTTTTTAAATAAATGACAACTAATGAATCCGCGCGCGGACAAGACTGGAGAAAGAACTAGAAAATCTTGAGATTGTTGAAATTCAAGATATTAGCTCCTCAAGTGAAGAAGACGAGATACAAATTCGTGCTCCCAAAAAATATATCCGTGATGGTCAAAACCCATTTGAATTCTTTAATGAACAGGAGTTTAAAAGAAGATTTCGTTTTTCAAAAAACTCTGTTATGTTTGGCATTTTGCCATTAATTGAAGAAGGACTCGCAAAAATAAATAATCGCGGGTTACCAATATCCCCTGTCATACAATTATTGATCTGTTTACGCTTTTATGCAACAGCAAGTTTTCAGGTTAAAATATGTCGTATTTTCTGTTTAAATTATGTAACTTGATTTTCACAATAATGTTGAAATGATGTTATCATTTCATATGAAATCTTAATCACGATGATATAATCTTGATCTTTTCCAGTATTACTTATGTATTAAAACTGTCACATGACACCCTGTATAATAATTTTATTTTTCCAGCTTATTGTAGGAGATGTATTGCAAGTTTCACAATCCACTATTTCTAGAATCATTTTTCGAGTATCAGTTTTAATAGCAAGTCATGTTAATCGTTACATAAGAATGCCAATATCAGAAGAAGCACGTGTTGAAAACAAACGCTTGTTTAAGGAAGCTGGATATGGTGATGGAGTCATAGGTTTACCTTGTATTGATGGAGCAATACATTGTACGCACATTCGTCTCGTACACAGTAAATTTCAAGGTATTGAAATATATAGAAACAGAAAAGGATACTTTTCCTTAAATGTTCAGGTATGTTTGTTAAAATAAAGTTCTATTAAATATATGTTAAAAAGAAAAAAGACAATTATGTTTTATTTATATTATACTTATATACAAATCTATTGCATTTAAAATATACATTAATATATACATATAAATTCATTTTATTAATGTGTATTCTCATTTATTATTATATATTTTTTTATTCATGTTAATTTTTATTTACGTTTATATTTGTAGGCTGTTGTTGGTCCTCGTACAGAATTTTTAGATATAGTTCCCGAATGGCCAGGAAGAGAACATGATAGTCGAATCTTCCAAAATTCAAGGATATATATGCGATATAGACAACAAGCACTAGACGGAATGCTCGTTGGAGATAGTGGAGATCCGGCTTTACCGTTTTTACTTACACCAATTGCTAATCCTATAACCGGTGAAGAAATACGGTTTGACATTTTATAGCTATAATAATATACTATAAAATTTGAAATAAATTGTTTTTATATATGAAAAAGAAATCAAAGATTGAAG